GGGGTCTCTCTCTGCCAGTCTTCAGACGACTGACTGAGTGCTATCACCATCATGCATGCTCTGCAGAAGCTCTTGCTTTTTTGTGTCCTGGCAGGTTTCAGAGGAAATGGTAAGATTACCAAATCACATTATGTTCTCCTGCTATAAAATTGAAACACAAAAATGTTAAAATTTCCTTCTTATATTTTAGCCCTGGGAAGTGAAATCATAAATGGCAAAAAGGCCAAGGAGAAGTCGATGCTGTATATGGCCTCTGTTCAGAGCAAAGCTGGTCATATATGTGGAGGATTCCTCATCAGTGAAGACTTTGTGGTCACTGCAGCGCACTGTGACAAGTGGTGAGTGTCTCTCGTCTTCAGTTACTGTATATCATTCTACGACGGAGGATTAGGGCCACGGTAAAAATAAAAAAATAAAAAAATGTAAATGTCTCGTAAATTTACGAGAATAAAGTCGTACATTTACGAGATTAAAGTCGTAAATTTCCGAGAATAAACTCGTAAATTAACGAGTTCGAGACCAGCCTGCGTGAAAATGATGAAAGTAGAACTCTTAAAGCATTTAAAGCATAAATGAATAAAGTCGTTATTTTAGTCTATATCAAAAGAGCAGCAGCATCCTGTTCTCAAATGACAAACATGGAGCATCTTGTCCTAAAGGTTTCACTAATAAGGAAAGAGTCTACTTCCTTGTGAAGTCGGTAAAACAGTTAGTTCAAGAGAAGTTTTCACTTGAACTTGCAAGACCTTGTTTATCTGTAAAATGATGAACAGGACACAAACTGGCTCTGCACATGAGACACTTTAACAAGGCAGACCGATAACAGACACAAATAGTTGTGTTGGGGCTTTACTTATGCAGATATGAAACTACACATGCTTTTGGCACATCATCATCTTCACATTGTCATAAAATATCAGCACCCTGAAAAGATACTGCAAGAAACTGTGGCTTTTCCGAAGAAAGAACCACACTGACTTGGAGGAAGTTGTCTGCAGAGGAAATTGCTTTAAGAGTTCTTTCATCATTTTGTGCAGGCTGGTCTCGAACTCGTTAATTTACGAGATTATTCTTGTAAATTTACGACTTTACGACTTTAATCTCGTAAATTTACGACTTTAATCGACTTTATTTAAATGACTTTAAATTTATTTATTTAAAAAAAAATAAATAAATAACATGGCCTTAATCCTCCGTCGTAATCATTCTGTTAATTTCTCAGTATTTTTATTTTTTTTATGTAGGAAACCCACAAGTGTTGTTCTTGGCACACATCATCTCAACAAACTCAATGAAACAATGAGATACTCTGTGAAGAAGTGCAAACACCCATCCTATAAGGAAGTTGGATCTGGGAATGACATCATGCTCCTCAAAGTAAGACAACCTTATGGTCCCAAGTTATTTGCTATACTATACTACAACATAATAAGTTGTATTATGTGCTATAAAAGTTCAATTATTATGGAGCGCCGATAGCCTGGTAGGTATGTCGCGCGCCCCATGTACAGAGGCTAAAAATAGACTTTCTTAAAGTTTAATTATCATAACTTGAATAAATAGAAACACTTTCTGTCACAAAGAAATATCATATCTTTTGAAATTAAAGGCAATCCTGAAATTTGTTTTACAGACATCTTCTTTCTAGAAGTAGTCTGTAAAAAAAAAAAACTTGACTGACTTTTTGGGAGGTCAGTTTATAGCTGCTTCTTTTAGCATTTTGTTCCTTTATTGGAGAGATAGGACAGTGGATAGAGTCGGAAATCAGGGAGAGAGGGTGGGGAATGACATGCGGGAAAGGAGCCAGAGGTCGGATTTGAGCCTGGGCCGCCCGCTTGGGGGTCTACAGCCTCCATACATGTGGCCCGCGCACTAACCCCTGCACCACTGCACCACCAGCGACCCGGCTAGCTGCTTCTTATCCAGCTCTCTTAAAGTTCATGCCTGGCCAGTACCATATTGGCGGGATACATCGAAGCAGTTTTGTTGAAAGTTTAAAAAACCTTTCGACTGTTGAGCAGTTTAAAAAGCTTGTTTTATCCACGGATCATTCTGATTGATGGTATTGTTATGATTAAATAATAATTTAAAAAAAATGGTTTTGCTTATTTACCAAACATTTGTTCAAGTTTCATCTTCAGTCATCACAGTAAACAAAATCAAACTCTTCCTGATTCCACAAGTTAACAGAAGTAGCTTAAAGTTCATTAATTTGGTAAGATATTGAAGCATGTTGTTTTACTCTGACTCAATTCCAAAATATTCTGTCTGTTTGTCCTTTCATGTGAGGTGTGCAACAGCAAATACCGCACAGAACTCAAAATATTTTAATAACCTGAAGTTTGTTGAAGAAAAAGGCACATTTTATGAAGGTTGTTGGGTCAGATTGTAACACTTTCTTTCTTATTTGATTTCTTGTAGCTGTCAGTAAAAGCTCCCCTGGGTAAAAAAGGACTAATTAAACCAATTAAGCTTCCAAGTCATAAAATGAAACTAAAAGACAACAAAAAATGCCAGGTGGTTGGATGGGGTATGACAAGTACTAAAGGTGAAGTTGAAAATGATCTGCGAGAGGTGGAAGTTCCTGTCATTAACCTGGAGAAATGTCAGAAGCTGTGGAAAAACAAGCTTCCTTCTAATGTTATCTGTGCAGGTGGATACGGCACAAAAAAAGGATTCTGTCAGGTGGGTTTTCTTTTAATCTTCTGGTGTCAAACACATACAGAAAATATAAAGATCTTTTAGAATGACCAAATGAAACTTTGTTTTCTCCTCAAAGGGCGACTCTGGTGGACCTTTGGTGTGCGATAAGCAGGCAGTTGGTGTTGTTTCCTTCAACAATAATGATGTCTGTGACTACCCAGATGTTCCCAACGTCTACACCGACGTGTCCAAATATCTGCCCTGGATCAAAGAGATTCTGAAGAAAAAGAACTGTTAAAAATGTAAGGGCCTTAAAAAAAGATCTCTTCATAGTGGAGGTATAACATGTGAATGTATTGTGACTGTAAGTGCTGTTTTGACTCAGTCAGCTTGCTGCATTATTCAGACTATTGGAATGAAAGCAGTCCTTCTGTGACTACTTGAATCAGTGGAAACCAATGCACAAGTGTCTTATCCAATAAAATGTATCTGTGTGTCTGTGATGTATTTTTAATTAAACTTGAAATATCCACAATTAAAATAAGTTTTTACATTCTGAATTGTTTTCAATAAGAAAATCATCCGACTGGGTAATAAGGGTCATTTTAAATTTGTTGTCTAGCAAATTATGTTACAGAGAAAGAAAAAAAATGACAGTGACCTAGCTGGTTTTGTGATCGTGGGAACATCACTGCTCATATGTGCAGCTGCAACTGGTGGTTTCTTTGGTTCATCCAGATTGCCTCACATTCTGAAGAAACGTGTTTTGGCTGTGACACATGGATCCACCACAATGAATGTGTTGTGCCTGTGTTTTTTTTTACTTAATTCTATTTTCATAAAAACAAAAAATTATTATTCTGTTTCGGCAAGCACAGAAAGGACTGCGAAGCAAAATAATCTAAAAATAAATAAAATGCAGTTAATCAAAGTGTCATTGAAAAATATATAAAAAAAATAATAGCTGTATAAATCAATCGTATGGGAAAATGACAATACTGTGACGTTACCCATTGGATTGTTAACTCTATAGCTAGCCTTCAGCTTAGCATTTCCCTGCTGCCATGTTGGTAGTTAGCTAAAAAAAGAGAGAAGGTGGTGCTCGAGTGGAGCCAGGGGTTACCAAACACCAGGTTATTAAAGCTACACAGTCAACATCCTTGGCTAATACATTAGCTAAACAGCTAGTTTACCCTCATGTCTCCCTAAGACTGAGGTTCTATTTGATGGTGGTCACGGACATTAAAAGCCTGCTAATCTATAGTAGCTATTTTATCCGTGTCAGCCCAAAAAAGAAAGATTCACACATCACTGGAATCTTAACTACTCCTAAAAAACAGCTTTACCAAATATCTAAAGCCTCACTGCAACACATCAACAAAGTTTGTGGAAGGTGTTAATGCAACCACACCACAAAAAACAACAATTTCTACTTCCTCTTGCTTTGCACACCAGAATCATACATATAGTCAAGTTATGCTCCTTTTCCAGAAATACTTTCCCATCTATTTATTTAAAAGTAGAGGGATACCAACTTTGTCAGGCAAGCCAGTCTCATTATAGTTGATATTATTGTAGTGCACAATTTATAACAAAAGTCATTCACTATCATGGTTCAAGAAAAAACACAGTGACACAGTACCTGTAACTGCCAGTTAATGATCACATGACTTCAGAGTATGGTTTACTGATTACTGAGAATGTAAGCACACTGATGCAACATACTGCGGTTTCTGTTTCTCACTAATAAGTTTTAGGTGAGAAATTGAAGCGACAAACACCAACACCTCTAAGTCACAGTGATAAAAAACATATTCATGACATTTCATCTAGATTTAAAGTTCACTAACACTAGAGTGGCCTTAAGTGGTATCAAACGGTCATGAATTGAATGATTACAGACTCTGCGTGTTCATCACATGCCGATCACATAATGTAGATATGTGCACTGCAGGTCTTCCAGGCAGCAGGACCACAGGCTTCATATATATAGCTGTAACAATTGCATTTCTGTGTGGCGCCTCACTTCTTGACTCACCGCATGCACTGACCACTAAATGTCAATTAAAGGTTGCTCTTTTGCACAGAGTACGGTGCTGAAAAGTTGAGGTGAAGCAAATGGAAACTTCAGGTTTGCTTACTCAGCAAACTGAAGTATAAAAAGGTCAAGCTGAGACCCAAAAACCAAAGAGTTGAATTTGTTGTCGGCATGATGCACTCTCTGCACAAGTGTCTGCTTTTTGTTCTTTTTGGATGTCTTGAAATTAACAGTAAGATTTTATGAATCTGGTTATTGGTCTTTGGCGTACATATGCTTCTTTAACTAACCATTTTTCTTTATTTTCTAACCTTCACAGCCCTCGGGAGTGAAATCATACATGGTAAAAAGGCCCCGGACAACCAGATGCTGTATATGGCCTCCTTGCAGAATGATTCAGGTATACATATATGTGGTGGATTCCTCATCAGTAAAGACTTTGTAGTCTCTGCTGCACACTGTTACAACAAGTGAGTAATTACAGAACAGATAAAAATCCTAACCTTACATTTAGCAAAAATATTTATCAGATTTTCATTTATTCTAGCTATTCTTTTGTTTGCACAGCTTAAGAAAGCTACTGACAACCTTTTAACTTCTTCAGGACCCCAACAAGTGTTGTTCTTGGTATCCACAATCTCAAGAAGGTAAATAATGGCACGATGAGATACAGAGTGAAGCTATGCAAACATCCATCCTACAAAAACATAATTACTGGTGATGACATCATGCTACTCAAAGTAAGTTCTGTAGATAGCTTAGCAGCTGAAGTGTCTCAGGGGGGAACAATGCTTTTTTTTCAGAGAAAGATCTCTGAATTGTTATTTCACTTCTTGTGTCTCCAGCTGTTGAAGAAAGCTCGACTGAGCAAAAGCGTGAAACTGATTCAACTTCCAAAATCTAAGATAGAAATAAAGGACAATGCCAAGTGCTCTGTAGCTGGATGGGGCTCCACAGAAACTGGTGGTCCGTCTGTTGATGTGCTCCAAGAGGTGGATGTGTCTGTGGTTGACTATGAGACTTGTAAGAGAACATGGAAGGTTAATCTTCCTGCCAATGTTATCTGTGCAGGTGGATATAAGACAGACAAAGGATTCTGTAAGGTATGTTTTCTGTTTGTTCATGGAAAATATCAAGTTGTTTCTGTTGTTGAATGATAAATAGTTAATGTATTAAATGCAGTATAACAGTCAGCAAGGCCCATGTTAAGACAAGCTATGTATTCACAAAAGCTAATGTATACACCACTGCGGATCGGGTCGTTAGAAGTTCATACTTCAGACAATTAAAAAGTCCTGTTTGTGAAAAAAACCAAAAAAAAAAAACCTTAGTGTGTGGTTTACGTTGTAATATTTTCACCACTTCACATCAGAAACAGCCCTGTAAACAGGTTAACTTTTTCAGTTGTGCTTCTGTGGTTTTGTTGTTGTTGTTTAATTTGTTTGTCATGTAATACTCTTTAATCTAGCTGGATTGTAGGGCGTTGATTTAGCACAACCCTCCCTAGAAAAATTAGTGGTGTTAAGTTCAGAGTTGTCTCAGTGTTGATGGTTTCATTCAGTGCAGTAAGCCACAGCTGTCTGAGGCCATTATCCCTCTGAAGAATTCAGTGTAGTCTATATGGTGACCAGGACATTCTGTCAAAATAAGAGCCAACTTTGATATCTTCAGAAAAGTGAAGTCTAAGCTGGCTACAGCACTTGCTGCCTCAAACAGCAGTTCGATTATAAAATATAGTCCCTAAGGAAAGGACTGTCTGGTTCAAGGTGGATCTATGAAACTGTAACCAAAAATATAGCATACGTACACCTAAACTTAAACATTTTATGACTTGTGAAACTTTTTTTAGTGATTAAAGTGTTTCTTGTGACTCCATCCGCAGTGAAACAAAGCTTCAGTGTAGGTTCTCCGGCTGGCTTCACCAAACAGGGACATCAGTATTAATTTCAGTCAAAAATAATAATAAATTAATACAGATTTTGATTGAAATGGTTTGACTTACACATTGAATAAAAAGATTAAGCTCTTGTTTTCCTCACAGGGTGATTCTGGCGGTCCTCTGGTGTGCGATGGGAAGGCTGTTGGTGTTGTGTCTTTCAATAGGAACAGGTGTGACTATCCAAATGTTCCCAACGTCTACACAAATATATCGAAATATCTCCACTGGATCAGTAAAGTCAAGAAAAAGCACGGCTGTTAAACAGAACTATTTAGAATCATCTTTCTGTTTTGTATGTCACTGACTCTTAACCCCCCCACAAACATCTACTGATCAAATGTTTGGTTGTAGAGCTTGTTTTTAAATGCACTATTACATATTGGGCTTCATTTAAAAAATAAATATATTTTTTTTTCATTACTATCACATTGCTGAATGTTTTTAATCGTCCTGCAAACAAACTCTCTCCCTGGGGGCGCGCTGGTGGCGCAATAGTCAGGGCGCACGTCCCATGTATTGAGACTCTCATCTCAAGCAGTAGGCCCAGGTTCACTTCCATCCGTGGCCCCTTTCCACATGTCATTCCCCGCTCTCTCTCCCTGGTTTCCAACTCTATCCACTGTCCTCTCTCTGCATTAAAGGCACGAAAAGCCCAAAATAAATCTTTAAAAATAAAAAATAAAAAAACTCTCTCTCTATTCTCATTGTGGATGCTTTACTGTGTTAAGTCATTTTGTGTTCGCTTCTTATTTCAAATGCAATAAAATACATACACATACATACATACATAAAATGTATTTAGTTAAATAACCATCTCTGTATTTCCTTTTGTTTCATTTATCATCAAACAGGGAAATATCATCTGAGTAAAAGTCAGCATTTCTTCCGAAGTTACTTATTAAACTTCAGAGGGCAAATCTAAAGTATAAGAAGTCCTGTAAAAAAGCCTATTGATGCGCTAAAAAGGCGCTGTAGTGTCACAAAATATAGTGAATATACAGAGCAGGTAACTGTGATTGTCTGAAAATAGATACCTGAATCTGTAAACTGCGGTTTCTGCAGTTCACATTGTTGTCATGCAACATGTTTCAGTGGCCTGGGTAGTTACCCACCAAAGAAAATAGGTCTGAAGATTGACTTCATCTAGGGTTCATTTGATGTGGCTGAGTGAGTAGTCTCCACAAACAAAGCAAAGGAGAGATTCAAAAGAATGTCAGATATCTGAGCGATAGACTTAAGTACCACTGCCTCTGCCCAAAGGAGATGCAGCCCCCTCTGCAGGCCACAGTGAAACACATGAGGACATTTAAATCTACTCCTTGGCTATATAACAAAGTGACATTATTTTAAAAAGTAGTTTTGTGTTTGCAAGATAATTCTTTTATGATATACAAGTGTATGCAATATTTTGCTTTTTTTTTGTTTCATAAATCCAACTACTCAATTAATATAAATGAATATAAATGTTCTCCTGAACAAGGACATGAACTTTACATAATAGTTGTAATTGTAGTTAATCGCATAGTTGTAAAAGTATTTAAGTCTGGACCAAAGCAGTGAACCAACCTCTCCCTTGAACCACCACTGGTGAACAGTTAACAAAGGTCTGCTGATATTCTGTAAAGACAGAACTTCTGCAACTTGACTGAAACTGAACTGCCAATCAACACATCCGCACCTGGTTTTTAACTCTGCAACTAGAAGTGTGTCTTTGGTTAAGGGTAGACCAGTTTTTGTTGCACTTTTACAATTATTGGTTCCCCATATTATCAAACCAGTGAAATAAGGCTGTTGACAGTTGTTCCAGTGATGTGTATGTTTCTGAGGTACCATGTGGATGGATAAATAGATGGAGCAGGGGTTAGAACCCAGGATTTCCAGTTGAGAGACGACTGACTCTATAAAGTCGTGGAATGCCTCTTGTTCAATGAGATTACTTAACATGGACACAGGACTTACAGTTGACAGTATATGAGCAAGGTGCATGACATATATATATGTGCATTATCATTTATGATGCATTAACATTTACTGTAAAATAATTTTCAGCATTTACTGTGCAATATATATATATTAAGGTGCAGTAATATTTAACAACATATTTATGCTATGTAACATTTTAAGTATCTCATAAAATACATAACATGTGCAGTTTTTATCTTTGTAATGTACATTAACATCCAATGGTCCTACAATACTGAAGACTACACTGAATGCACTCAATTTCTCCTCATACTTTTCTTGTTTTAGTTAACTCTATTTATAACTTTTGACTTTTAAGGAATGTAAGTGTGTAGCTGAATGTGGTGATTTAAAGGCATTCTATTATTTGTTTCTATTCTATTTGTTTCTGTTCCATTAGTCAGACTTAACTGTTGCGTAAAGTGCATCAACACATAGCTCAGCACAGCAACACAAACTACCAAACATATTCCAAGATCTACATAATCTTTTTACAAGTCCACTAAAGCAGCAGCGAGATAATAAGAGACTATCTTATCATGTGTAGCTCTTATCTAAATTAATACAATCAGAGTACCACAAGGTTAGCCAAGAACCTTCGGACCTTATGAGGGCATGAAGCTCCAAAGCAGTGATTTCAAACTTCTTCATCAGACAAAAAGTTCACTTCTATAAATGTTACTATGAAATTCACACTGCTTGCTTTCCTACTAAGTGAACGCCTTTGAATTCGTAACACTTTATATTTTACCCAAATCAATATACAATTTCCCAACCAAGGTTAAGCACATGCTCCATACGACTGAACAGCAGATTCATTAGGAAGACTGTTTGTCACAATCCCTCAGGTTTCTACACTGCAATTGACTTGCATGGGGTTGTTCTTAAAGATAACAATTAGGCAACTCATCAGACAGCTTACCTGCTTAGGAGGGAAAAAATGCTATACAAACCCTTTGGAGATTTTCTCTATCACCAATTAGGAGCCTACATTCTATTCCTGTAATAGCACCTGAGAAAGCCAGAGAGGGCGCTACAGTCCGGGACATGCCAAGTCTTTAAGACCATCCCCAGGATTGACTTGTGTTAACATGGTTGACCATCAATCCATATGGCTAGCATACAAACACACTGTCAGTTGTGTACCTTGGTGTCTCAGTGGGGTAGAGTATAATTTGTATACATGACATGTCAGTCACAGAGCTTTGAGCTTTTCGCTTGGGTATTCATGTTTTTACTGCGAGCTGCAGACGGTTTTGGCATGAAAACACTGTGACAATGCTCTGTGGACACGCAAATTCAAATTACAACGGCAATGTTACCGGTTTCAATTAAGTTACAACATCAACATTTGTAGAATATGTACGAGACATGAAGAAATGGTTTTATTTTTCACCTCTAAACTTCCTCTTTCTATTCAGATTTCATTTTCATTAAATAGATTAACGATTAAATTAAAAATAAAACTTAAACAAGGTTAAGCATTCAATTATTAATGGCCAATATCAAACTACGAGGAAAGAGACAGACCCTTAGGGTTAGGGGTTAGGGGTAGGGTTAGATATACAACATTTGTTTGTATATATTAATCATTTATATAAACTTTTTAAGTGTTACACTTCAGCATTAACTGACCCAGTTATATCAGACAAGTCTAGATTCTTTGGATGAAAGTGAGTTATATAACTGCTCTCATTGAGTGTCTCCACACAACCTTATAGAAAACAATTAATCATCATGGTTGAGTTAATGCCCAACATTTTAAGGATCGAGCAGGACAGGCAGAATGGTGACCAGCAGGTCCCATGTTTGGGAGTTAACAAAATAAAGGAAAGTAATGTGCTCTGCAGACTATTCAATGTTAACCTTGCACAACCCAACAGCTTGCTTGATGATTAACTGCATTCATCAAGCACAAGGAGAAGGAAGCATAAACAGATAACAGGTAATTACTTATCACCTCACTCTGCAAGATATTTAGTGAGGAGGGCAGGAGGATGAGGCCGATAAATGAAATATTGATAAGAGATATATTCCTGTTCAGCTCTGTGGTGAAGGCTTCAACGGTCATAAAGATCATATAGAATTACTGAGTTTCTGTTTCCCACAAGAGTGTAACCAAAAAGGCCCTCCAATCTTTTTAACAGGCCTGTTGTCACATTCATAAAAGGTTACATTTGGAGAATTGAGGAGTCAACACAGTAAAGAAAACCTGCATGTTAGAGCAACATTATTCTTGAGACGTGTTTCGCCATGTTTGTTGGACCTAGAAGTCAACACACAATGCCTGCTGTTGACTGCCTGCAAAACTTGAATCTTAGCAAGTGTGTTTGTCTCATTTTTAATCAATAATATCACATTAAACTTATTATAAGACATATTTATCTGACAAGTCCAAACAAAGATCTTAATTCAAGAAATTAAAAGCAAAATAAATATGGCATAAATTGTTTTAAGAGATGTAAAAAAAAAAAAGAAAAATCTGACATTTTACCTGTTGAATGCCTTAATCAAGATGTCCCTAAATTAGAAAGTACGTCTTACTTCAATACACTCAAAAATATATTTTCTTGTTCCATTTCCAGATTTTTTTTGTGCCTAGACAAGCCATTAAGGGCTCTTTTTTTTGCTCATAATATCCTGATATAAGATGATCACTTGGACTTGTTGGACAAACAATAAGTGTACTGAGATATTTTGGACTAGAAATTAGATAAATACACTTTATAATATTTTAGTTTTTGCAGTAATTATTATTGTGACTTTTGGTTATTTGCAACAAAACTCCAGAAAACCCCATAAGGAAATGTTAGTGCGGGCTTTGAAAGTAGGGATGTTAGGTGTAGTTTGATAAATAAGGTAGATTAGGTAAAGGGACAAGTGTTGCACAGTTGGACAATACTGTCCTAAGTCTGCGGTGAGTTATTTCACAAAACCACATTCTACCTGAAAAAATCATTTGTTAACACAACATGACGCAAGGGACTGAACGAGGACAGAGGAATGATGGGGCTTTCACTTTGCAGGATTCAAAGCAGTAGGCCTAACTGTAAGAATACCCCACAGAGACACTTGTTGATTGATAATGTCACCTTTAGTTTAGGAAATATTAATGATTTGATTTTAAATCCATTGCAACTGCAGTGGTTTCTTTCATCATTTCTGAAACATTGTTGAAAATCTAAACCAACTATTTTGTAATCTTACAACTTCACAACTTCAAAAAGAAAATCATGAAGTGTGTTACTAAACTTACTGAAGCAATAAAGACCACAAAGGAAGCAAGATGTTCTCTTCTCCAAACCTTTAAAGACTGGTGTGGAAAGTGTTGCTTTGACCAGAGACCATGGCACTGATCTTCATACAGCTGTTGCTTTTCATCCTGAGTGGTAAGTTAGGCTTTATTAATAAAACAATGTATATCTATACAGTAAAACTGTATCTTGTCTAAATGTGAGGAAAGAATAAATGATTAATTTGTGTATCAGGGGCTGATGGTTCAAAAATCGTGGGAGGCCAAGATGCTGCACCCCACTCTCGCCCTTACATGGCCTCTTTGCAAGTCCGAGGTCAGCACTTCTGCGGGGGAGTTCTGGTGAAAGAGGACTTTGTGCTCACAGCAGCACACTGCTTGATAAATAGGTAAGAATACAAAAAATTGAACTTTCATTTTGTGTCTTTTTCAGCTTTGAGAACTACTCAAATAACTACAACAGACACCTTGGTATTTGAAATATTGCTAAATACAATGTAAACCCCTCCAGAAATTTTTCCCCACAGTATAAATGTCTTCAGGAATATAAATTTAAATTCCTAAAGAATGAAATAATCTGATTTTACATTTGTTATATCCAATTAATTATTATAACTTATCCAAGTTATATTGTTATGTCCACTGCAGCCAATTTAATTTAATTCCATATAAATTCAGAATTAAAATCAACCTGTGTTTTAGATTGCTAGACATTTTTGTTTTTTTCAATCAGAATAAATATTAAGCAGGGCCAATTTTCTAAACTTCTTATTAGGGAGCTTTTAGCCTAGTGGTTATTGTGTGTGCCCCATGTACAGAGGCTTAAGTCCTTGAGAGCGGGCGGCCAACCTGTAGCCCCTTTCCTGCATGTTGTTCCCCACTCTCTCTCTCTCTCTCTCTCTCGCTCCCCGGTTTCAGGCTCTATCTCACTGTCATATCTCTAAATAAAGTTACAGAATAAAAAGCCCAAATGTAGATTTAAAAAAGTCAGTTATGCTCTTGTGACAAAGCCAAGTAAAAGAAAAACAGCAGGAAATTAAATTCTGACAGAATTACTCTACCTATTTAAAGTCTCAAAGTTTTGATTGTACCATATGTGTATGTATGAAAAGCAGTCTAAGATTGTGATGCCGTATGTTCTAATGTGTTTGACAGATGTTTTTTTTAGACATAAGAGATTATTGGCACCTAAAAAAAAGTCATAAAGTCCTTTCAGAATTTGATTGTGATTTCTAGACCGTTCACAGTTGTAGTTGGAGTTGATTCTCTGTCCCGTGCTGAATCTACAAAGCAAGAGTTCAGAGTGGCCAGGTCCTTTCCACATCCCAACTATGACGGACATGAAAACGACATCATGCTCCTGAAGGTGCGGACAGTTTCAACTGTTGTTCACAACATGCTATCATGTTTGAAGAAATACTCCCAATTATCGTTTCATGTGCATTTTGAGCTGTTTCTAACATTGACCTTCTTTTCTCAGCTCGGTGGCAGTGCTGCACTGACTGAAGCAGTGCAGCTCATCCCTCCAAAAATAGGCAGGCCGAGGGAGTGCATCACAGCTGGTTGGGGAGATATAGGGGATAACAACACCATAGCAACCAGGCTTCAGGAAGTCAATGTAACACTTCTGTCTCAGCGGATATGTCAGAGGAGATGGGGAGCTGTTCCCATCACCAGTTCAATGCTTTGCGGCACTGGGGCCCGTGTCTTTCAAGGTTTTTGCTCGGTAAGTAAATACAGTGGTTACACATTAATCAGGCCCCACATTGACCTCTGAAGAAGTTTGAAGTGTGTGTAAGGTTGCATGGTGAAAAACAAAATATATTCTAAATTTCTAACTGATCTGGATATAACAAGAACTGAAAAGTAATGTTTTTTTATATATCTTGTGCCACATTATTTGAGATTTCCAAAGTAACAAATAGATAGCACATGAAATTGATCACAGAGGATATTTTATACCAAGAACACATATACTCACTGAAGTGTCTTCTATCTTTCTATTTAAGGGGGATTCAGGTGGTCCATTGGTTTGTGATGGAGATGCAGCAGGTGTCGTCTCCTTCTCTGGCCAGCGTTGTGGAGACCCCAAAACTCCTGATGTCTACACTCGCGTAGCATCCTTCAGACGCTGGATAAGAAACGTGTTAAAGAACAATTAGGCTTTAAAGTTGAATATTGTCTGTTTGTTAAGAAGGTTCTTCAGCTCATTAATAAACAAACATGTGGCCATGTTTAATATACCGTATGTTTAACATTGTGGTTTTGTGGTTGTTCAGATGAGGTAATGAGAGCTGAAATTAGTTTTAGCCTATATATGCATATTGGTCAGGCAAAACTCCTTCTAAAGTTTTAAAAGTGTATCATGATCAATGTAGCCTAATAATAACAGGGTGAATGGTGAATAAATCATGAATTGTGTTGCCGATGTTGGATCTGTTTATTAAAAATAATGGCTCAATGTTTTGTGCATATCTGATTGGAATTCAGTAGCCTACTGCTCTCACTAAAACCTGCACATAAAAAGAAAATGAAACAAAAAGTCACACAGTAGTGTTAAGAGGAGGTCTATAAAAAAAGATTGGCTGCTGCCCTGACTTAGGATATAATGAACACCAAGCCCGGGTGTTTCACATAGCCTGTACAACTGATAGCCCTGCTCATAAGCCTGCAGATAGGCCTACAGCAGAGTGAAACAAGCAGATCCAGAGCATCTTGAACACCTCTTTTTTTTTTTGCTGCCTGCGCCTTTAAGTCATAACTAGGCATGTTTGCGTCAAGCAAGAGCCTTGACCTCACTTCCCCGATTACGATCACTCATGCATGGTTGTGGTCGGTTGACTTTTCAAACTCATTCTGCGGACTAATACCGTAATTATTTCCGAATACCGGCACAACAACATCTGTTTATCTCCTGTAGTCCACATCGTGTCACGAAAACACAAACTACCACTGTTCATTGCGCACACATCCGCGTCCTCCTCTGCGTTCATGGCACACCAAGGCTCCCTGGGAGCTGGAGTCTTTCCGCTCATCTCCCATTTTCCACAGGTTTCGCGAGATTCTCATAGGCGGGTGGTGTGTGGCAACATTTCTCTGCCAGACGAACTGAACAATACTGATATGAAAACTGCGTAAAGGTAAATGACAATGTTTTCAAGCGGCGGAATGAGGCTGTTAACGAGCAGCTGTCTCCGGTGTTTGTTAACCACCATTATCAACCCCGACGAGCGGATGTAGCTAGCCGCCTCCACTTCTCTTGACAGTAACGTTAACATCTGCATTGAGGCAGAGCTAGGACAATACGAGTGTTACTGATAACCTACAGCGTAAGGTGTAGGTGTGCTGGAATCAGTCCAGGACAGGTGACATATGGCATGACTTCCGACGTGTTTCATATGGCTGCCCTGATCCTATTCTGTTTCGAGTGTGAAAATTATCATTAGTATTTTCTTTTTTTAGAAATGTAACGTGACATACTTTACAGAGGGGCTCCCTTCAAGTAGTGTTAACAAGATTATATGTTAGATGCGTACCCATACACTGAGGCGAGATATGTGCTTTCATTATCGTTTCATATCAACACAAATTGATAGTCTGGCATTAGTGACCTCAATGGCTGTGTAGTTAAAAGTAAATGCCCAGGAAGTTATTTCATCATACAAATCTATTGGCTGCTGGAGTTGTCAGTCTCCGCTGAGCAGGCTGCAGCCTGTCACGGGTCTCTAAGAACAGGCCAGCCTCTCAGCCCAAGTAGAGGCCTTCCTCATGCAGTAGGATACAGTAGCCTACATGTGAAGTTTGCCAGCTGTCTTTTTCACTCACATTATATCTAAAAATGTCCCTTTCTTTCTCTTAATCAGTAGCGGTTGAGTTTCTTGAGGCATGTCCAAGAAAAGGGGCAGGTATGTAGAAACGAAGCTACTGTATATGCAACCCCTGTTAGAGTGTATTGTAGAAATAACACATATTGTCACAGCTACATGGAAATTGACTGTTATTGGTGTAAACTTCTGGAAGAAATCACAAGTTTATATTTGGACTTGAAATGATAACATGAAGTTGATTCTTCAGTTAACTTTAAATGATAAGATGCGTGTAAAAGAGGGACACATTTGTGTCAGTGTCTCATGACAAACAAAGGCTATTTGAAGTGACCTCAGTTTAACAAACACTAACTTTAAAAAATAAAAAAAAGTCTTAATTACAAATATTTTGTGATCAAACTCTGAGAAGATACACTGTAACTGATATGAAAGCCTGATATCAGCCTTTTATATTGCAAAGCTTCACACCTTATTTTAGACCTTAACTTAAGACCCTTACAACCTGAATATTCTTCTTCATTTACCAGAAAGCGGAGTAGCGGGGAGCTGAGTGACACATTGACCCCGGAGCCCAACAGCATTCTGGGAGTTCGCATCCAGCACAACTGGCGTGAGAAGGGAAACCAGAGTAAATGGAAGGGAACCGTACTGGACAGACTTAGTGTGAACCCCTCTCTCTTCATGGTGAAGTATGACGGCTTTGACTGCGTCTACGGCATCGAGTTGTTCAAGGATGACAGGGTGTCGAACCTACAAGTTCTGACAGAAAAAGTTGGTGAGCTGGTTTGAGTATTTTTTTCACCCTGCTTCTCATATTAGATGTTTTATGCTGACTTTGCAACATTACAGATCGCCATTATTGATCGCAGCTTTGTCTCCACAGTAAACAACAAGATAAAGATTCCTCCTGGGGCGGAGGAGCTGGTGGGAAAAGCTGTGGAGCATCTGTTTGAAAAAGAGGATGGAGAGAAGAATGAGTGGAGAGGCATGGTCCTCTCCAGGGCGCCAATAATGACCAACTGGTATTATATCACTTATGAAAAGGACCCCGTTCTTTATATGTACCAACTGTGGGACGACTACGCTGACGGAGACCTCAGAATTCTGCCTGAAGCAGGTACTTGTAATTTGGATATGAAAAGAGGCAGATTGATTCATCACACAAAATCTTTCTTCATTTCAGTACATTATGGATAAAATCTGTAAAGAGCAACTGCTCTGCTTCTTGAATCAGTTTTCCACTTTTGAAAGATCATTTCATCTCGCTCAGCATGCATACCATGTGACTTCACCATGAGTCATGGTGGCCTGTGGGAGTCTGGATTCCCCACAAATCTTCATTATGCTAAAGTCCGTCATTTATAACAAGCACTGATTACAGCCACTGAAACAGATAGGTGGAGAGATACATTTGTTATGAAGTCTCCATTTAATTTGAATGTAAGAATGTTTATTCTTTTCTTCAATGAGGGCTTTTTAAAATATGAAACACTTTAACTACACCGTCTAAAAGTGGAGGTAACCCTTGATAACTATTAAACCACAAATATTCTGCTACTAGCCTCTAAATATTGTTGATGGTTTGTCTACAGTGTGTTCAGCACATATTCTGTGATCCAGTTCAAGTTTCAACTTTTCTTTGACCTTTTTATTGCTGCTTTCTTATACCTCTTATTTTCAACTGTTGCTCTGCTCAGTTGTAAAGCGTTTCGTTCTGTGACATTTGGTGTAATGGGATCATAAAAAATAACATCCATCGTAAAAAAGCATGAAAGACCGTTGAAAAATGAAGAGTAGTCCTTTCAGCTTGTTTTAAATCGAGCTCATGTGGCAGAAGATTTTAAAGAGCGGTAGTGTATGCCGTCAAGAGACAAATGTTCTGCTAAATGAAAGCTGTAGTAAAATCAGGGCCGACAAGGATTTCCTGAGGCCATAACATTTGTGTGGTTGTTGAAAAAAACAGCCATGTTTCAAAAAAAAAAAAAAAAATTAGAATCAAGACTCTAATCAGTGGTTCAATCATACTCTGAACTGAACTGAACTTTTTCTGAAGTAATGGTCATTATTAAAGAAGTATAAGTTGCAGCTTTAAATTACAGAATAATTAAATGAGTTTACAAAAACTAATATTCACATCAATTAATTAGGTCACATTCAGATCTTTAGATCTAGAAAAACTGAGGCATCATGGAGGATCATAAATGGAAAAAAATCAGATCATTTGTTATTTTGTACGTTGAAGCTTTATGCGCATAATCCTTTTGAGTACTGAAAAAATACCTTATCTAATTCCAACGTTATTGTAATGTTCTTTTTCACTCCTCAGAGAACAAGCACCTGTTGCCTGCTGACAGGAAGCCAGGAGAAGAGACGGAGAGCCTGGTGGGAAAACAAGTAGAGTATGTTACCGACAAGGGTGTTAAGAGAACAGGCCTGGTGATCTACCAGGTCCCAGCCAAGCCCTCTGTCTACTATATCAAATACGATGATGACTTTCATATCCACGTCTATGACCTGGTCAAAACCACCTAGAGATAGTGGACAATTCATGTCACTCTCCAGCCGTCCATCCGTGTGCTTCTACTCCCAGTCATTGTTATAATCTTATTATTCAAAAGCAAGCCCGGGTTTCTAAGTTAAAGGAGCAATATTTAATCATCAGGCATTAAGGAGACATGCTATGTTGAAGTGCTGGCCTCTCTGACAACAATGCAGCAGCCAGTAGGTCCTCCTTCATAATTTTCATATCTGGTCTGGAGTGGTCTGAATTTGTTTTAACCAGAGCAGGTAGGCGGTTCTAAGGCACCCCCGCACACCCGTTTTGGACGCTCCTCGGTTTGCCAGACATGAGACCAGTTATCACGGCAAACCAACGGGTGTTGCAGCGATGGAAGCCGGCTCCAAGCCTCAGCATTTTTCTAACAAGCTCCACAAACAGAAACGTGGTACAATTAGGATAAATGTTTGAGATGCTTTTGAAAAATGGAGAGAGGTTGGCACGCATAAAGGTTTCAAGAGCTGGCTAAACACTGAAGCTTCAGTTTCCGCGGCTCTAGGGGAGAGGGGGTGTGGGGATGTTTTGGATTTGGACTGGAGAACACATTTGAAACTCTATGTGTCAGAGTTACATATTGCTCCTTTAATATGCTTTATTGTTCAGAAGAAAGTGCAATCTGCTTTTCATAGGCACAGCAGAACTGTAGCACCGCTTTGCTTGGCTTTTTCCTGGAGAGGGCCTCACTTGTTTTAATTGTTGCTGCTTTACTTTTTACTAAGGACAGTCCAAGATTGCACTTCCCAACAGCTGCAAGTTGCAGTTGTTACTGCAATTGCATTGCTGGTTCCTTAAAGTATTTATCCTAATAAAATCCAAGTCTGACCTCTCTCTCCCCCCCCCCCCCCAAAAAAAAAAAAGAAGCTCTAAAGACATCTTGTTAAAGATAAATGTACTAACTAGTAAGGCCTAAATAACGTGTACATGGGGTACTGGTATTTCTACTTTCTACGTTACATTGTACAGTGCCATTTTAAATACACATTCACACAGTCACATGAGCTATCACATGATCAATGTCCGATAAGTCACAGAAAACATCCCCCAAAAAATGTGTACCCACTAATAAAGATATGCGAGTGAAAAATATTGCACCGTGGAAACACTTAGATCCCATTACAGCACAAAATCGAGAGCAGAGAATCCAATATATACAACACCTATTTACACCTCTTGGTATTATATGTACAAAGAGAAAACACACTCAAGTAGAGTTAAATGTAAATAACATAAAGTATGTGAAGAGGCCTTTCTATATCCTATAACTGGTCTACTATATACAGGCAGAGATACTGGGACAAAGATAGATAAGTGCTTGACCACATTTGCACCATATTTATGACCCTCATAAAGACAAAACCAAAGTTTAACCAAAAAGGACGGATGTCCGTTTCTTTGTTTAGACCACTAGGTGACATGGTATTTAATGTGTATATTGAAAATAAATCTCTTGGAATATCAGAACACAGGAGTACAATAAGAAACCCCGACTGTAGGAGCCATGTTGCTTACCATTTTTCAGTTAATGAGTCAAACAGGAGATATCAATAATCTTCTCCTAAAACTAGAACTATTTGGGAGATACATTTAAGATGGCGCTGTACAATGCAACTTTAGTCTGATGAAGAGCAGCTTTGCTCAAAACGTCACTACCCTAGTGAAATAAACATTCTGGAGTGTTTGGTTACTGCAGTGTGCAAGCGGTCTTCTTCTGTGTTTTCAGTGAAATTACGAGTTTAAAAACAGACTTTATAAACGCTCCATTTTCACTGTTAGTAAAGACAAAAGGCCAAACCCTCTTTAGAAAAAAACTGTTTTAGAAACGCCTGTACATGTGAAGAATCAGTATGATATAATTGCGTCTACTGAGGCATTTATTGAAATAAATGGACAGAATGAATATGTGTAGTGTATTTATCCAAGCATATTGTCAAATTAAGTTTGAGATGATCTATACTCCTGCACCTTAGCACCATGCCTTGTATTGTATCGGATTCTTTTCCTGGTGATGATGATGCACTTTGCTAAATTCCAATATCCAATTTGACCCCACACATATCATGAAGTGCCTTCTGGCTTCCCATGTGGCAATACTGTACATACTGTATCTCTGAATGGCTACGCACTTCGAGTTATTGCAATATGAAGGCTGCTGTTTGGTTTTCATTCAGAGGAGGTGAAAATGTCGGCTTGAAGATAGGTTTTTCCACCATCAGTATGTATTAGTGATGTGTTCCCCTTAACGCGGTATGCTAATGATCTTAAAGTATAACTCTCATTATGATTGGTGCACTTTATTTTTAACGTTTACATATTAAAAATGACGGTACACTACAGTTTCCCCAATGCTTTTTGTCTTCAAAAGAAAATGTGGCAGAATGAATACCATGTAAAACACACATATAGAAAGTAAAAAAACACACTATTTAATATGTACAACTTGTGTATAATGCCATGTATTGTTGCCTGTTGTGACTACTCATAAATATCTCTTGAAAGCACCACCAGCTTTTAGTGGAAGGGTTATTCATATATGTATGAATTATCAACTGAATATTTAACAGTTATAATAAACTGACAAACTTCTTTGTTTACAGTATCTAGCTCACTCTGGTTCTAGTCTTCATTACTTTGTCTTGCAAACACATGTATGCTTCTAGTACTGATTTCATCCCCAACTTTGCCAACATGTACTTTTAGCTGAATTGGTTTTTTTTGGCCTTTCAGCCTTCTTCAGGTCATTCGGTGTATCAGTCTGTAGACTAGTGGATCAAAAGGCTCTTCATTTTAATCTGTCAAAACTCTGCATGTGTCCTCTGAACAGAGTGCCTGGAGATTTTAAAAGCTTCATTTTGACAATAGGAAAAGTGACTGTGTGGCAGAATCAGTGCTCTTTATTAAACCCATATTTAAAAAAAAGAAAAAAAAAAAAAGGTTTGAACTTTTCATCACCAGTAATGGTGCTGTGGAGTGTTTCAATGTCGTGTAACGTGGAGTTTCAAATGACTGTATGTGCTCTTCATTCTTTTCAATCACCTCCTGTCGGGAAGTTGTAGCGACATCAACGAGCCACTGGTGTCATTATTCTGTCATGAGAAATAAAGATTTTTGCACATTTGTTTGGTCTTGTTCCTTGATTGCATAATCAACATCTGGTTAATATCATATCTCAACAAATCACACGTCAGACTGGATGTGTTTGAAGATGGATGTATTATTAAATCACAAATGGAGAGACTGCATATATACAAGAGATATTCTCTTCATGACCCCAGAGTGGTTTGAGAAAAGGGAAATAAAATATGATTCATCAGTCAGTGATTAAAATTGAAAAATAAATTTGGTATTTAACACAAAATGAAACAACTTTTCCAAAAATGCATTTAGCATTTCAGCTTTATGTACAACACAACTCCTGATGAATGCCACTTTCATTTAAAGAACCACAGTACCATTTCAAAAGACTAGGCTCCTTGAAGCCAGATTTAACAACTTCTTTGAATCTTACAGTTTTCTTTCATGCTGTTTCTTTCCTGTGATGGGCTACAACTTTTGAAGAAGTAATATTTGTCAAGTGCAAAACTCAAAAAGATTGAAAAGAGGTCAGGTTATCCAAAGAGTTTTTGTTCATTTGACGAGGTCTTTGATGTATTGCAATCCCTGATTTGTGTATTCATTTGCTTTTGTTGGAGCCTCTGAAAGACTTGAAATAGTCCACCGCACTCCTGAAATAATAACAAAAAAACATGTTTGGGTTTAATAATATGTACAGTACATGGAAAGGAGTTAATCCAAGAGATAATCGTCTCAAGAATGATAACATTGACATGCTCAACATATCACTTCATACTACAATTTAAAGTCTGGGCACACTCTAAGAACGTATGACCTAAATTGAAACTAAAAGAGAAGCATGTCTTGCAGCTCTTACCGGAGTTCCACCCCTGAACCGGGGAGAATTCAATCTTAGGCATGGTAGGAAGCTGAGCCTGAGAAAAGGGGTGGGAGGGGTCCATTAGTTTGGGACAGAAAATTAAGATTCATTATTATTCTTTTTACATTTCACTGAAGGTGCGACACTTTCTAACAGGTGAAATGTGAAAGACGCAACATTGTCTTATCACTCTTGACTTCTTTAATACTATGTTTAAAATGTAAATATGTTTTTCTTTTTTTTCCTGAAACACCACAACTGGTCGAATGATCTGAAGAAAGCTGAATACATACACACAAAAAAGTTATCTGTGCTCAGATTACATTCTGTATAAAAACGGTTGGTTTAACAAATACATAGTGTAACATTTCAACTTCTGTAGTGGATCCACAGGACTTCAGTAGGAAATACTTAACGGCTGGATTACACTATTGTTAAATGTTTTAACTTAATAAACAACTAAATGGCCAGTGTGCAGATGCTGGACGCACTTCATTGTTGTACAATGATCATCCCATTGTATGATAGTGTTTTATAATCTCATAGAGAATGGTACAAAAGACAAGAGATGAAGGAATAACAATGTAATTAAACTAATTCATCTTTCATTTTTTTTCAATCATAAAAACCACCATAATTAGTGACATCAACATTTATTATAACAAAAGGTGTATACGGTGTTTGCCTGACATATTTTCCTCCCTTGTCTTGCACTATGTGCATTAAAAGTGCATCCCATCTGTACCTGCAGGCCAAAGTACTTCATCCACTCCTCTATGGCGGGGGGTACTGCAGCCTTAGCCTTCCCCAAAGCCTCTGAGCCCTGCACACTGTTCCCCAGCAGACCAGAGTCATAGACCACGTACAGGGCTCCTCCTGCGATGCTCACCTTGGTGGCTAGTCTGAAAGTGAACAACACAGAGAGTTAAGCTTTCAACTGGGATCGACTGCCCTGTATCCGTATCACATCATTTAAATGGACTGGAAACAATGCGTTATGTTTCATTTACTTGAGAGTATTCATTTTTGCGAAGAAAGAGTTTGGGTAGAAACCAAGTAGACTATTAGCTCAGGAAGTTAGCATCAGTAAGCTAACTAGCTAATCGAGCAGCTAGTACTTACAACAGCATAAACTTCAGGGTTATCATGGCTGAAATAAAAGATACTCACTTCACGACAGGCAAAATCTTTGCTGCCATTTTTCCACAGCCAATTAATTTCCCTTTGGGTTCTGTTATTTCAAGTACACCAAAAAAAAGGGGGATTGAAGAGATATCTCCACTGAAGGACAAGCCTGCTTGCCTCTGTGCACCAGAGGTTTGTCAATAAAGTTGTTCTTTCAAAAAGAAGCGCTATCTTAATTTGAGAGCAGCAGATTCGTTCTAATAAACGTATTTTGGTTAATGTTTATTTATAGTCTATGACTAAATAACAATGGGAAGCCTTAACATAAAATAACACATTTTGAGTTTGTTTTTTTTGTCACGAAACATAAAATCGTGATTTTGTTTTGTTAAAAATGAGAGGCAGGATAGAACTGATTCCAGTTCAATAACCTCTTGGGCAATAACCCTGAATGGAGGATCATGCATGCCAACCTAAAGCACAAAGGTAAAACAAGATATTAGAGAGATGTTATTTTCAAAACAATGGAAATTGATAAATATGTGATTATGTAACAGATGATTCATTAGAGTTTTTTTTTTTTTTTAACTTTGTTCCATAGTAATATTATTTCTGGGCTAGTATGCTTTTAGTCTTAAACTGAAACACATAGCTTAAGGGACATTATTTTGAGATAGCCTAATTTGTAATTATTTCAACAAACTTTCTTATTAAAGCCTATTGCAGGATCTTTATTTGTTGGTAGTAATGGGCTTCCTTACAGCACACACGTCAAGGGAGAAAGAGAGAGTAGAGATTACATAAATGGAATTCGCTTTCCTTTATCTCACGTGTAAGGCAGCCCTGGAAACTGAATTTGTGGGACAGCGGTCAAGACAGCCAGCCAGCCGCTCCTTGCTTTTACATGGTGAAGTGAGCCGCCCCTACATTTGAAGTGCTCATGTATCTGATCTTTATGGTAAATGATCCGGACTGCAGAGAGAGAGAGAGAGAGAGAGAGAGAGAGAGAGAGAGAGAGAGAGAGAGAGGATTTGACCTGTTATTCTTCTCCTTTTCCAAACAAAAGTGCTACATTCACAAGTCTCACCGTTAAACTGGCTTTTAATAAACTTGTAGGAAACGAGAGCAAACAAAATTCTGTACAAGGATTAGTTTCGGGGGGTCAGTCAAGTTAGTTTGAGAATAGGCCACTACTGCGAGTCTGCGGTAACATCCGTTTTTCAAAATAAGGTGTTTACAAATAATAATTAAAAAAAACAGTTTTCCTGGGAAACTTTCTGTTAAAGTACTTCTTAGACTACATGAACAATTACTTTGATGTCATTTAACTGTGTTTTTTTTCCAGTAGGCCTAATCCACTGTCAAAGTAGGCCTACCTTTTATTTCATATTGAGTTTTTTTCTGACTTTGATGTTTTGTAAAGAAAAATCTTCCATAAGTACACCACGATTCTGATATAGTTGGATTAGTACTTCTTAGACTACAAACACAAGTACTATGAAGTACTTTTACTCTACTTTCTGAGTAATCCACTGTCAAAGTCCATCATGAAGCACAGTCAGTTAGTCTTGTTTTTCTGACTTTGATGTCTTGTAAAAACAAATTCTTCCATAAGTAGGCCACGATTCTGATATGGTTGGACTTAGTACTTCTTAGACTACATGCACAAGTACTATAAAATAGGCTACTTTTAATGTGTACTTTTTGAGTAATTCAGTATGAAAGTCCATCATAAATCACTATAATACTTATGATCATAGATCATCTCAAACTGAATTAGTTTTTTAAAGACATCAAAGTCAGAAAAATTAGACTAATTATTGTGCTTCATAATGGACTTTGACAGTGGATTTGTCCCATTCAGGGAAAAAACAAGGAACTGGACCCATGTGCAGAATTAATCTAAAAATATTTATTGAATAAAAGTGCAAAGGCAAACAAAAACTTACTTTCGAAATCCAACAGCTAGAAGTCGAAAACACTAGAGCACAAGAAGACGACCGACAAAGACTAACATCCAACACTGACAACTAACAATGATAAAGGTCTAGAGTTCAGGGAGAGCCAGAGCTCAGGTGGACAGGAGATGGTGATGGGTACCTTTCCTATTTCTTTGGCCTCCTCGTGAACCAGGAAAAATAGCCAGCCTAGTTCCAGTCCAGGGTGACTGTCTCAAATCAGCTCTTCCATTGACATTCAAAGAAACAGTTCTAAAAATGTTTTGAACGTAGCTGATTCTTGCAGAAAAATAATCCAGCTTCTCCAAGGGTTCTGCTGGGTCCATATTTCTGGCCAGATCAATCTGTCGTGTAACTAAACAAGAGTAATCCATGACAGGATTATTATCATACTGTACTATGGAAGAAATGGTTTTTTTTTTACAAGTCAGAAAAAAAGACTCATTACAGTGATTTATAAGAGACTTTGACAGTGGATTTCTTAAAGAGTACACAGTATGTCATAGTACCTGTACATGTAGTAGGCTTTAAGAAGTAGCCTACTTAGTTCCAACCATATCAGAATAATGGTGTTCTTTTTTTCCCAGGAAAACTTTTTTTTTTAAATTGTGAACACCTTATTTTGAAAAACGATGTTACCGAAGACTCGCAGTAATATTCTCACCTCATCTAATTCATCGACCCCCGAAGCTATTCCTTGTACAGAATTTTGTTTGCTCTCGTTTCATACATGTCACGTTCAGGGGAAAAAAATAAGGAACTGGACCCACTTGCAGAATTAACTAAAAGTATTTAATTATCAAAAAGGCCAAAGGCAAACAAAACTTACTTCCAAAAGTTCAACAAACAAAAAAAACCCACAGGGATCAAAAACAGGGAACCACACAGGAGCACGAGCAAAAACTGACACTGACATGAAATGAAGTGACAGCACGAGGACGGAACACAGAGACTAAATAGACACATAATCAAACACAGGTGAGACTAACAAACACAGGTGAGGACAATCAGGGCAATCAAGGCAGGGCGAAACACAACACCAGAAACACTGAGGACAATACAAAATAAATCATGAAACACTGAAGACACAGAACTTAAGATTCTAACAAAAAAAAAAAACATAGAACATAGCGATACACGAGGGTAATAAATGACCAAATAAAACAGAAAACACTGAAGACAAAACTAGAAACCATAGGAAACATTCTCTCTTTCTCTGTTACGCCTGCTCGGTCATTACCATAGCGATCAGAATACGTGGGCACTTCAAATTTAGGGGCGGCCCACTTGACCATGTAAAAGCGAGGAGCGGCTGGCTTGACCGCAGTTCTGCACTGCGTTCCGTGTGCGACTGGGCTTACTCATAAACTCTCAGTGGTTAGAAGTTTACAAAATGGGAACTTTAAAAAAAGTCCTGCTGGCAAGTTTATGTGTCGCTTTTGTTGCTGTCAAGTGGTCTGCACCGAGTTTTGACTCAGGTAAGGGAGACGCAACTGCAACATTGTAGTCAACGTGATTCCACTAATGTCTAGATATGTTCTTGTGTTTTTTTTTAGTTTTTCTTTACTTTAAAACATAAAGCTCTTTGATGTAATGGCAGGTTTCATTAGACCTACATATGTAAACCATGTTGCAGGACGGTGGGCAGGGTGATATGGACCTTTTTTTTTTTTTTAAAGACACCTGTTTTTTTTTTTTTTACATCAATTTAGGACTTTAATCGATTCTTTGGGCTACGGCCATTGTCATATTTTACGACTGTTTTCGTGCTTTCGCTGTCACGTGCAATGACAGGTTGCAGGTTAACCCTCGACAGCGCGCCTGTGTGAGATGTTGGAACATAAACGACCTGCTGATGCTGCTGAAGTTGCCACAACAAAGCAGCTGTTTTATTATCCCTGGCAAGAATTCTGTCAAAACAGGAGGGGAAATCGAAATGAAGTGATTCAAAATTATAGGGGTGTCTGGAGAAAGACATAAATGCACATGTAAGCAGAGTTCAATACAATTAATTTACAATATTTGTATTTGGACAACAAAATACATTTGGTTGATTTTCTGATAAGAAAACTTTTGAATGGAGGGTTTTGAGTTAAGTCTACATCTATGGAATGCATACAGTTCAGTCTTACCACAAGCAGTGATGAAATATAACCACATTGTTATTTGTTGGGTAATTCTTAAGTCCTTCAGGAGGCTGGCAGAATGCAATTTAAGTGAGTGAATCAGTGACTGATGGTTCATTACAAGCCAAATAGAAAAGGCACAAGACAACATTATGCATGATGGACCAGCCCCCAGGAAATATACCAGGCTTTGTAGCCAATTTGAAATAGAAGTACAATGAAAAATTGATAACATATGGTCATCACATGAAGCAAACAGTACCAATAGAGTATCCCTAAACAGTGCTGTATTTATTCTTTCCCAAATCTGACCCATTCAGGGTTAGTTTGCGTGACACTGTATCTGCTGTGTTCAGCTAAATTAACAGCCATAGCTTATTGCAACAGAGGCACAGATGTTGGCAGGTAGGATTAAAGCTATAGTGTTCTAACTACATTGTTCCCAAGATGCTTGAGCTCGAAGAGCCATGTTGTTTAGTTCAACTTGTTTGGACTCATGTCACACTTTGCAGTTCTAATATGAATTAAATGCAAGTGAGGGAGTGAGTCAAAATTCACTAGATTTTGACATGGCACCAATAATCCTCTGATGTAACAGACAATGTTCAAATGCTGCTAATATTGTACCGCTGCATTTGTACTTGTATAAAACTAGGTTATCCAACAAATCATAATCTTTGCATTGCTTCCAAATTGATCAGCACCTGAAAGGAAAATGATTTGTGAAAGTCTAGAGGGACATTGAGCCTCATTGAAGGGTAAAACATGCATTTGATAACCCATTAGAAACTTCATGTAACACAGTCTACAGCTATGTTGGCTAAGAAAGAGCTGAGTGTTTTAATCAAGTGTTTTTTTTTCTTCCGGTGAGTGATAGGAGAATATGTTGTTTTACTTAGATATGACCAGATGTTATTCTGTATTGTCACTCTCTATTGTCTTTCAATTGTCAGATTACCTTTTATTTATGTAACTTTCCATCTGGAACACAGCAGAAAGAAATCATATTTAAGCCTCCAAAAATGAACATGAATCAAGATGAAAATGGCCTGTGTGTGAAAACAGAGAATGACCAAAGTAAAAGGAAGGAGAAAAAATGTCTGTATGTTGAGATATTCTTAACAGCTGTGTGTAACTAAAATGTCTTTAACTTAATATTCTTTGGGGTGCTGATGGACTCGTGGTTAGCCCAGGTTCATGTCCAAATGCTAGCTCCTTTCCCGCATGTCATTCCCCACACTCTCTGCTATCCTATCTTAATAAAGGCAAAAACACAAAAAAGCAACTTAAACAAAAATAAAACTTAACATTCTTTGTTGAAAACCAGAAACAACTTTAATAGCCATCTATCACATGTTGCCTGAAAAATACTTTCCTGATCTGAAATTTGTTTAACACATGACTGAAGAGATTTTATGAGACCTGGAGGTCTCACGCAGAAGCATTCATTGAGGATCAAAGACCACAGAACACAACATGTGTACATGGTGATCTCATTTTGAAGTGTTCCTTTTTGGTAAGGAGACTGTAATCCTGCAATGGAAATTCTGACCAAATACAACGTTTCTTCACCCAGCAGCAGATGTTTAAAGAATCTATCGGGTCTTGGATTCTAATCAAGCAAATATGCTTTCCCAAGTTAACTTAATTCAGGTTGTATAACTCTTTGCCTTTTTCAGATAAAAGACAATCATAGCAGTGTAGACTTTAAGGGCAAGGTGCACCATATGTACCAGTAAGTGTATGACCTCATTATGGTCATACACCTCAGCCTACAACATACAGCTCAGCCTGGGCGTAGAAGCTTGTTCTGAGTCTCTCAGGAGCCTCTAACATGTACATATGTACTAATATCATATTCTTAGACTGTAATCAATCACAAACCTAGAAGGTGTGTAGGAAGGTGTTTTAACTTCATGTGTCATATCTGCCAGAATGAATCACCTGTGTTTGAATTGGGTTAGATTTTTGGCTTATTTGGTGAGTGGGATCCAGCTCCAGTTCTAAACTAGTTTGTTCTCCCTGGTCCATGAGCCACCTTCCAGTTTCATAAAAATCAGGCCTAGAGTTTTTCTGTAATCCTTCTGATGAACAAACTAAAACCATAATCTTCAAACACATATAATTAAGCATATCTATAGCTAATTGATACAATTTGAAAATATCTTTGGGACATTTATTTTTGAAAGAGCAAACTTATTGGTTATATGGACAGAATGTTTGATAAAGGGATCATTCACCCTGGACATGGTCCACAATTTGACTTGAACCCTTATCATCATCATCATCATGTTAAGCATGTCATATTTCACTGTTTGATATAATATGTTTGATATCATGGGCTAATGGGCTAGTGTTTACTTATGCTTTCAACAATGACAACATTGTGTCAAAGTATCACAGCTGATAATTGAGCTTAATGAATTTTACATTTTGACATTTAATTGCCTTTTTTTTACAAATGGAAATTCAAATGATTTATTACAGATCTGCTCCACATTTATAGACACACAATATATAACAATAGTTATTTGTCCTAGTCTGTGTGCTCAGTGATTCAACAAATTTATGAGGGAGGACATTGGCCAGAGAATATTTTCTAAGTCTGTATTGCATCAAAATCTTAATTAAGGTAGAAAGTTTGGGTATAAAGGAGCCATCCCGGTTTTGAAAATATATATATATATATATATATTTCTCTAACAGAGCATAACAAATGTGTAACAGCTCCTCCTGCCTCAGGATCAGAGGTCTTCAATATGTCTGAACAACACATACTGTAGTAGAGGACTTTGACTTTGAGAGGACTTTCTATTTTTCATGCATGGCTTTGCTAAATAAGTATCGAAAAAATGGAGGTCATGGTTTGATAGTTGTGATCTGAGACAATCCAACGTCATCATAGTCACTGTACTATAGGCTATTACTATATATAACACGTGATTTTTTTATAACATATCTGTTAACACAAAAACCTACCCAGGCAACACCAGAATTATCAAAAATTTACAGACTATGTCAATGGCATTCAAATGACTTTTCCTCTTTCTATCAAACAGATGTTTTTTTGTGTTTTTTGAACATCTTTCAGAGTCTCTCAGAGGAGCCAGGGTATTGGTGACGGGGGCCAGTACGGGAATTGGAGAACAGATGGCATATCACTACGCCCGCTTTGGTGCACAGATAGTAATTACAGCAAGAAGGGAGAAAGTGTTACAGCAGGTAGGCGAATGTATTTAAATAGACTTAAAGCTTTAAATGGTTGATTATGCCTTAAGAGTGTTTTTTATCTGTTGGTTGAAATTATACATTAATTCTGCTTTCTCTTTGGTTTTTTGTTTCAGGTGGCAGAGAAATGCCAGAGTTTAGGGGCCCAAAAAGCCCTCTACATAGCAGCAGACATGGCCAGTGTGTCTGACCCCGATCAAGTGGTCGATTTTGCAGTGGAGAAACTTGGGGGGTTGGATTACATGGTTCTCAACCACATAGGGCCGAGCCCCTTCAGAATGTGGGACGGAGACGTGGAGCACACCAGGTGGCTGATGCAGGTAATGCAGTATTTTAATAGTGCACAAGCAGATCAAGTGAGGAGAATGCTCTGATCTTTGTGTCTTTTTTCTGTGTGTGTGCTTTCTAAAGGTCAATTTCTTCAGCTATGTTCACATGGCTTGGAAGGCTTTGGCTTCCCTCGAGCAAAGTAAAGGATCTCTGGTGATTGTTTCATCACTTTTAGGTAGGTTTGCTACATTGTTTTGTTTTTTTACCAGCAACTGAAACATATGTCTATACACTTCTGAACTGTACCCATTAATTACAAGATATGTATAGCCTACGTTCATTCTTTTTGTATTTATTTAATTTAAGGTTAAATAAATAATAAGCCAAACTGCAATGCAGTTATTTCATGTGGTCACATTTTAGAAAAATATGGTGGCTGCTTTTTTGGTTTAATGGCCTTGTGGTGAAGAAGGTAATATAAAGAAATTCTACATGTGGCTATGGTTGGCAGTAAGAGCTAGCAAGGAGAGGGGTGGCTCTGGGACGCCAGAGCTCACTGTTGAGCATCCTAGAGGTGTTGTGGGCCTAACTTGACAAAAACATCCGTGAAGTAAGGTGCCCTCTGGATAACCCCAATGATGTACTGGCTCTTGCTTCCCATCTATCTGCACCGTTGCATTATGGGGGCCATTAGGGCCATGTGGTAGGTTAAGCGGGGTACACACTACAAGATTTTGCCCCCACTTCCCACCAATGTCAAAAAAGGCCCGAATATGTATTGATTCCAAAGATTATCTTTCCAGATTTCCTGTGGTGTGAGGTTTGTTAACAGCGGGTTTACCCTCTGGAAAAATGGCCCCCAAAAAAATTTGAAGTCTGTGCCATGCTTTAGGTGAGGGGTTAGAAGGGCATAATGGGAAAGAGGGGTTTCCAAGCTAAGCGCTTATCTTTTCCATTAGAACAAGTCTATTGCATTTTATGAGTGCACATGCCAAATCAAGTTTGTGAGAATAAGAGTCTTGAATTGCCTATAAATCCTGTTTCTGAAACTGTCAAATTGTTTCGGAAACCTCTCTCGAACAGTTTTTCTTTTCTTCACAGGTAAAATGGCAAGTCCCTTTGTGGCACCGTATACCTCAACAAAATTTGCCTTGAATGGTTTCTTTGGGGCCCTTCATCATGAGCTGGCTATGAAGAAAAGTAATGTGTCCATCTCTATATGTACACTAGGTCTCATTGATACTGAAGCAGCTATGGACAAAGTCAGGTAAGTCCAGCATACAATGAGTCCAATTCAGATCGTTTAACCCTGCTGGAAAATGATCACCAGCTGTTGACATAACATTTACAAGTGCTCTCCATTGCAGTTAAGACTGTATTTTTTCTCTCTATCCTAGGGGTGTCACTAACATACCAGCATACCCAGCCACAGATGCAGCACTGAACATCATCAAAACAGGAGCTACAAGACAGACAGATTTATACTACCCTTGGTTTACCCAACTTGTGACTCTCAGCAAAGACTGGTTACCATCCCTCACAAGCTATATCATCCAGAACTCCTACAACTACAGCCCATGAAAGAAACTGTAGTACCCTGATGCAAGTCGTAGATTTGTTACGCAATACTAATATTCTAGTAGACTCAGACTTTAATGTTCGTTTGCCTAAATGTTTGTTTAACTTTTAACTGGGGAAACAGGTTTACAGCCAACTGGTTAAAGTTCCTATTTATAACAAACTGACCCTTGTCCTCCTTTTTTTCCCTCTTTTTTTGGGGGAGAGGTTCATTCAGTGAAAGTCCACAGGGGAGAAAATATTATGACTTGAATTTATTTCATTTCTAAGTGCAGTCAATGAAGTCAAATCAGGTGGGAAACTGATAGCAGCCATTTAATGTAAAATGAAAAAAGGTAAACGAGGATGATTTAAGATCTGCTGGATGGAAAAAAATGCATGATATAATAATATATTTTATTTGTAATGCACTTTCATTTACAGTAAACCAAACTTAAAGTGCAACACAAGAAAAGCAGGAATGGAAATTAGTAAAAAAGACAAGTAAGAGCAGGCAGAAGAATTAGTAAACATGAGTACAAAAGCAATAAAACAAGTGCAGGAGAATTAAAAAAAAAAAAAAAGGAAAGTCATAGTTTTGTTCAACTCTCAAAAGGGTTTTTGGCGCCTTCAGGTGGTCTCTGAGGGCATTCCACAGCCATGGAGCGGCAACACGAAAATGCCCGATTCCCCATTGATATAGTCCTGGGGGAGTGGAGACGATTGGTGTCAGTGAAGTAGAGGTTTCTTGTGGATGTTTGAGGGTGAGCAGGTCATTGAGGTGTATGTTTATTGGGGGAGTTCCATGAATGCAGCGATATGTGCACGGTGCACCCAATAAAAGGATAATTAATAACTTGATGGAAACGCATTGAGAATTAGGGTTGGTTCATAAACTTTTCTGGAACTGGAGCGCACAACATAGCACCCTTTTCATATTCACATTAGGATTGAATCGAACTAACGTGTGAATCACATGTCATTCTTATAGTTGTATTTTTATTTAAATCTCAACTAAATTGATCATAAGGGCTGTTGTGTACTCCCTTTCTGTAATCTTGCTTCTTGCTTTGATTGGACCTCTTTGGGATGTGTTAATGTATTTGTAAGTGCAAGTGAGATTTATAGGATAGTCAACATTCAACCTTAAAACATAAGAGGAAGAATAAAGGAAAGGAAAAAAAAAGACGCGGAACAAAGAAGAAAAAGCTTCACATTCAGAAATGCATAGCTGAAAAGAAACTAGACTGTTGTTGATATAACAATATGTAAATATTGCAATTTTACTGCAAATGAGGTTGAACTGGGTCATGCTGACCCTAGTAAAACACGTTATGTGTGCAACAGGATGTGAAGTTGACCTTTGAATTCTAGACACATCAATCAAAAGCCTTTAAATATCTCGAATGATTAATTAACTTGTGAAGTATATGACTTGTATTCTTCTAAAAGCAATGACAAGGAGGATGTAGCACTTACAAATAGCATCAAAAGTCTTGACAATGACGATAATTGAAAAGCTTGATATAAATACAATAATAAGTCGGCAAATAAAATAAAATAAAACAGTTACAGGCAGGTATTGGACGGTTTAAAAATTCCTTAGGTGTCCAAAAGGGATAAAAGTGCTCAATTTCAGATCATGTTGTAAAATATTCCAAGAATTTGCTGCACTAACTCTAAAAGAGGAACCTGGAGAACAAGCCTCTCCCTCGAGTGAGTTAAAAACAGACCAAGGTTCAGATACAAGGATTTTATATCCAAATAGATGCCAGTGGTTATTGCGTATTTCATATGTACATACTTGTAACACAAGGCCTTTAGCAATATTGGAAGCTAACAATTTAGCAAAGACGAAGCATGTCCTTTGGGCTGAAGGCTTGAATTTCAGCTTGGATTGAGTTATTGGCTATTAACTGAGAAAAGGGGAATAAGTATAGAAGGGACTTAACTCTACTCACCATGGTGCTCACATAGCTTTCTACCAGTAATATGAAACTAAAAGGTAGCTTAAGTGTTTGTGACATGCAAACATTCCTTAAGTGTGACAGAAGCCATATGATTTACTTGAAGAGTTCAGTGCAAAATCTGGTTGGTTTTGAGTCAACACTTGTGATCTGCTATAAGAGAGGCCGACAGAGAGGAAAAGATGGAGCGAGAGTAAATGTCTTTAATTAACTTTGTTAAATCGTTCAGGTATACACTATAAAAACAACAACAACCATACATGCTCAATACCATACCTGTCAAAAAGGGCACGTCAATCTGAACAGAATAGTATTTTAAATGTCCACATGAGGGCAGTAGTGCCAAAGAACTGATGTTAGACTACTTCATCCTACCTTCAAATCCCACTAAAGTCCACTTTATGTTAAGGATGAATATAAGAAACCCAGAGCATCGTATGTTTGATGTCATTTAGCACAATACTTTGCATTACTTTGGTTTCTTTAAATGTTGAATTCTTCAATGTTTGAGTGACAAATGGTATTTTTCCCCAAGTGTCCATCCTCATCAAAACTCAACCTCCCTTTTCTTGTCTTCTTTATGCCCCCCCTTGATTTCTCTCCATCTTTATTCTTCTCTATTTCATTTCTTTTCTTCTCTCCAAAGCCGGCCACAGTAGGTATTGCAGACTTCCTACCGAGCAGGACTTTCTCAGTGGGTTCCTTGTGTCTTTGTTCATCATCCCCCAAAAGCACCACAGGCTTCCTGTGAAGCTGTTGGCTCAATCCATCCTGGTGGTCTTTTCTTTATTTTAATACACCCCAGAGGTTGTACCCTGCTGATATAGTGGTGCTCTACTGTATTCCCAGTGTGAGTTTTCATTGTCAAAATCAAAAAGCCTTGCAAGAAAAAAATAATAATTTGAAAAGTTGAGGAAGAGAAAGAAGAGCACATTCAGTCTTCAGGAGCAAGAAGAAGTGGCCTTGAATTTATAATGTAAGGTTTGCACAGCTCTCCTTAAACTTGTCAGTTTTTTGTTGTCTTTTGATGGATATGAATGGTGGCGGGACGTGATTGCAATGCATGTTCTTCTTGTCCTTATCTTGACACACTGAGGATTGTGGCGATGGTATAATCTCCCTCTAGATTCTGTGGAACGAAACTTTGAAAAAAAACTCTCCCTTCTTTTCAGTCCTGTCTCTTTCTGTGTCACACACACACACACACACACACACACACACACGCACACACACACACACACACACACACACACACACACACTCAAATGTGGTGGGGCCTCCTTGGGAGGAGAGCAGGCAGTGCCTGGGAGAACAGCCAGAAACACCTGCAACAGATTAGTGTTCCTAATGCTAGGTAATAAATCCTCTCACCCTTCTCTAGCATCTCCATCTCCACCACGCACGTATCTTATAGGCTGAGGAGCATCCACCCACAACCCTCACACACATGCACTCAATATTATATCAAACATTAAAACTTGCATGCATCCATGGACGTCCTTTTTTTAATCATTCTTGTTTTCCCCCCTCACTGCTGTGCATGTTACAAGTTAAGCCCACACTACTATCACTATCCTGTTGGTTCAGTTCCATGGAGATTTTTTTTTCTTTTTAAAGATAACTTGTAGGGCTTTTATGACTTTATTAGATAGGACAGCTTGAGAGAGACAGGTAATGGGGAGAGAGTTAGAGGGACCTAGCTCTACGGACTGAGCTAAACCGGCTCCATAGTCAAAGACAGCGCTCTATATCCAGATCAAATATTTTATCTTAGTAGCCTCATGGTTAGTGTGCGCACCTCTTGTACAGAGGCTATAGTCCTCCAAGTGGGCGGCCCGGGTTCAAATCCGAACTGTGGCTCCTTTCCTGCATGTAATTCCCCACTATCTCTCTCCCCAATTTCAGACTCTATCCACTTTCCCATCTCTACAATAAAAGCATAAAAAGCCCCCCAATTTAAAAAAAATCTTTAATTCAAAAAAACAAAGTCAAAGACCAAAGTAGAGGCTGGTTGCTATATTGACTTCACATCAATCTTCAAAGATGTCAGATTGGCCTAACTTGGCTCAGAGGTTTGAATTCTGCTTTAAAGCTACTGTGAGTCACATTCGGTTTCATATCATTCTTGGTGACCCCTATCAGCATGTCTTCTTTTTAAACAGTCAAACAAATCACTCTCCTTTAAGCTTTGCAGTGGAACATTTAAACAATGGCTGTTTTGACAGAGTGCAGTTAGTCACCTTGTCTACCCGGTTGCAGCAGTAACAGACTCTGAAAATAATCTTTAAGAATAGTCAATCTTATTGCTGTTGGTCTTGTTTGCTTTTGCAGGTCATAAAGAGGCATCCATATTCATTTCAGTCTGTTTCCTAACTAGCAAGAATATCCTCTCAAGAGCTTTAATATACGTGACACAGTATATTTTTTTCATCTCATTTTCCCCTGATGAGAAAAGAAAATCTATTTTTGTGCCAAAGTATTAAATTTAATGACAAGAAGAAAAAAAAGTTCCAGATGGCATACAGAGTAATCTCATCATCTTATTTTTTCAACATTTGCTGTTGCAGCCAAAAAACGTAATTTTTCAGATCATAAATAGTCACCTATCCGTAGTGATTACGCTGCACCTCCAGCAAAATGCAACGGTCTCAATTTATGATTCTTTCTTGTCCTGCTTCTTTGATCACAAAGGCCACAGCTCCACAAATCTCTGTCCAGCTTCATCCATCAGTTACCTTGAAAACTACAGAAAGAGCGGCCTTGATGTAGCTTGTGTGAGTGTACGTGCATGTGCGTGCGTGCATGCTTGTGTGTGAGTGCATGCGTGTGTATGTGTGTAACATTTATCAGCCACTAGCTTCAGAATGGGTGACCACTGGTTAAAATGGGACAGAGGTTAAGTTGGATGTAGAGGTGTCATAGAAAACCATGAACAAGATGATTTATTACATATGAGTGTAAGGTGCTTTACCTGCTTTTTGTGAAGTGTCTTGAGATAACACTTGTTATGAGTTGACGCTATACAAATAAAAATTGATTGATTGATTGATTGATGGTGTAAGCACACTTGATGACCCAGGGAGACAGTTTTCAGGGATGCTCAATTTCTAATTTTACATACGGGTAGGT